GAGGAAAATCGGACAATATCGTTTCTGAAAGCCTGATATGTCAGACATGGGTGGTGTGCCCTTTTTGGATGCCCAGGGCTATGCTACAGGTAATAGTGTTCATTGCAGGGCACAATATTTATTACCTCAAACCTTAGGCACCATAAAGAAAAAAAAAAGATTCAAAGTTGCAGCTTCTACATTTTAAGTACATGGATTGATGAAGGCCACAACGAAAACATCTGAGAATGGCCAATTTCAGGGCTGTGTGTGCAAATAATAATATTGTATTTTAGAAGTTTAGTATAATACGGTATTCGATATTGGTTTCAAGATTAATTGCACTACTGTAAACGACCTAATTTTCGCAAAGGCTTAGTTTTTGCGAGTTTATCGAAATTGCTCAAAATTGGTCATGCAAAAAAGTAACCCCATGGATACGAATGCATTGAAAATTAATCCTGATTGCAAAATTTTGTACCTGGAAAGTATTCTCAACACTAACACTTCATAAAATGAATGAACTATTGAGCTCGTGCAAACAAAGTCGTTTATGCCATTCAAACCTTTCAAAGCGCTCGCAGAGTCACCATTGCGATAAATTTGCTTTGTTCAGTGCGCTTCTCCGCATGTGCCAGTGCGCTGCAGAAATTAGTTCTGGATGAAATCCCAAAAATAGGGGGCATACACACTTTTTGATAAAATAGAATCTAAGAATGTTCACGCCGAATGGCTTTCCAGGAGACTTCTCGGGTCCGAATGCACTGTAACTCCGCAACAAGCAGGCTTTCTTGGGATGACAAGAAAAAACCCAGCGCCCTGAACGCTGTTCGAACCAGCACTCCGGAGAGTTGAAAAGCCTGTCAAGCGCTCGCTATCGGGACAGGCCGCTTACTTACGGTGGCTTCATACCTCTCTGCTCAAGGCACCATCCAGCCACCCATAATAGAGATCAGTGGGCGGACGTCACTTTTACTCCTGTGATGCAGTTCCGTGCAGGTTTCCATAGGTTGCAACCTGCTAGCCCAACTTAGTCATGCCTGCAGCCCTGCGGGGAATGTCAATTACACTTTTTTAGATGTAGACACCCACATTTTGCGTGTACCTGAAAGAAGCTCTAACACAGAGCAAACAGAATGATTGGCCTTTTTTTAATGCCTCCTTTGCTTTTGCTTAGAACACACATACAAGTCATACGCAATTACACATAAGCATTTTTTGTATATAACTTCGAGCGTTTATGAAAAAAAAAAAAAAAGCTCGAAGCTCGAATTTCGAAAAAAAGCTCGATTGAATCTTTTTTATAGAGAAGAGATTCAATATAATGGGGTAGCACATAAATGGTTGCGATGAACTATCCTATATATTTACACACTATCTGATATCATAAAAGCACTAGAGCAGGGTAGGGCTGTACTGCATCAATTATAAATTTCTAACCAATTAAAAGTTGACATTTATTTATTTTATTAGTATTGGCTATTATTCTTTGACAAAGAATAACTGGGCGAGTTGGTACGTTGGTAGTCTTTCAACTCCGTCGAATATTCAGATCCTTTTAACATTTCTTCATGCTTTTGCTTTTTCTAACTGCTCTGCCTTTTGTAGCGGCTTTCGCCGCCACTAAAAAACGTGACATCCAAACTCACTTTATTCACAACACACAATGGCAAACTTGGAAAGCGTGCCGCTTCGGCATAGGCAAAGAGATCGTCCGTCTCTACGGCACAGGCATCAGCACGGGCAAGAAATCATGCTGCTCGCACTTGTAACGTTTTTCTCGCTCCCGCTTTATGAAGCACATCGTCGGCGAGAGATTGTTGGGACCACACGTCAGAACTAGCATGACCTGTGATTGCTTAAACTGCCGTCCGACTGTACTTGAACGCTCCGCAAAAGCGTCGTCGGGTGACCGTCGTAGGGACGGCGTACAGGACAGGCCCACGGCTGGCCCTCGGTTCCGCCGCACGCGAATCTTTCTCACTCTGCGGAGAGAGCCATAAATTTTGAAAATACGCTCTTCTCAAATAACGAAATAAAACCGGGTAGAGCATAGTGAGAGTCAAGCATAGCTTAGCAAGCACACGGTACAAGACAAAGTTTGAAAAAGCGGCGCACTTCGCAGAAAGAAAAGAAACTTCCTCACCTTCGCTTGCACCAGTCGGCCATGACTGGCCGCCACTTGCGACGCTGCGCCTCACAGCTCTCAGTAATCACTTGCTATTATTGAACACGGTATTTGTAAGTAAGCTATCTAAAATATCCGCTAAAACGGCTAAAACGTAAAAGGAAGCGATACTCGAACCCTCCGGAACTCCAACGGCGGCCGAACGGAAGCTGATTGCAATAGCGATGGTCTTGCGCAGTTTTCAAAAGTCTCTTCTTTTTGTTCTTTCTCTTTTTTTTAAGACACAAATAAGCAAGTCAACATATTAATAATATTAATCTCACTTTATTATATTCGTAAAAAATTAACAAAACGTTTAGTTATCTTATGTTTTATCTGAACTTTCGGGTTTCTTTTTCAGTGTAAATCCGAAGCTATCTGAAGCAATTTCACCCTTGTCGCCAAGGCTATTTTGATTCATCAGCGCATGCTTGCACCGCTGGGATTTCGGCTTTTCTGGAAGGATCGGCTCTCGCGACACATAAATAATGAGGGCAACCTCGTGTTTTCAAACAATGAGCGTGCCCGTCTTTTTTGACGAGGGAAAGATACGTTAAATTTACGTCAATTTTTTACAGTGTGGAACTCTCGATCGACGGTGTTGTTCGTTGTTGCAATTGTCAATCTCTTTTCACGTGAATTGAGATGTCTTAGAGTTTTGCTAGATAAATCTACACCATGAAACACTTTCGGTGAAATCTTGAGGTTGTTACATGAAGACGCCGATTTCTCCAGCCAATTTCAGAGCGAGCTTCCATTGATAACACCACTTTGCTAACGCGGTTCAGAAGTTGATTTGCGCAGCATGCGACTATGCAAGGTGGAGCATCTTATGTCCCCATTATTAGCCGTGGTTTATTTTGCCTCCTGTCCTTTTGATTGCTGTGAATGCATATATCTGAAACAGCGTATAGTGCGTTGAGACTTGCATTACAAAAACACCGGATTATCCTGCAAACGTAATTTGTCTACTAGCCTATGAGGCAGCACGGAAGTGGCGGTGCACTTTGAAAACAAAGTCATGTGCATGCTTTTTCATCAGCAGCATTAAACACTTGGTGCGATTGCCCTCGATAGCCTAGCTTCCGAATGGTGCTAACAGTTTTTTTTACAGTAAACTTTTATTCTTCAATAAAGGTAACAGATACAGCTCAGGGAAAGTAAAAGCTATCTTTGCAATAAAAGTAGACTTTTCAATTGCTAAATTTATAGAAATGACTAGCTAAAATAATTATTGACAAGTTAGATAACGCTACTTTCTGTAGCGTACCATGTAGCTAATTATTCTATTTGTGCTTTTTTTTAGGCGTAAGTTCATGTTGCATTTGCGACGTAAGTATGCTATGACAGTGCCGGTCGTTTCCCCGGGGAACTTTTGGACCACGTGGTCTGCAGTGAAATGAGAAATGAAGCATCCCTTTGTCACATTAAGTCAGCTATACCCGATGATATTTTTTAATCAACTGCTTTCAGGAAAATTTGGGGCTCACTGTCATGTTGATGCACTCTTCATGTGTGTCGTGCGACTCGGCGGACATTACGTGGGTGAATAACCGTGGCAACATTTTTTTAAAGTAATTAAAATCCGTAAATTTACTTTTTTTATTATTGCTGTTTAAGAGGCAGTCGTTATTAGAGCCTAACACAATCAAAACTATTCACGAAACAGCAAGAGGCTTTCAGATATTTATTTATCAAATTTCGCACTTTTTTGCCTTGATTCAAGAACCACGCGCGGCAGGGGCGGGCAAAGTGGACAGTGACTTAGCGGTTTTGACATGGCATATCGGTGATGGCATGTTTGTTTGTGTTAGCGAGAACCTCTCATACTGGAGTTCTATGCATTACTTAATTTTCTAGTGAAGTTAAAACCCTCATAAAGTGCTGTCGCGTTCAGCATGGACGAAGTTGCACACTTTTGACAGCGTGCCTTTGGTGGATGCTCCAGCATCATACATCCAACGGTTCGACTGAAGGGAATACGTAAGAATAGCATCCTGCGCTCTGTCCAGCGCGGTGTTTTTAATCAGGCGACGAAAGGCAGAGTTTTAGCTATGAATAACCCAAATTTCGTCACCTTTTCGAAAATTGTTTCAGTTGGGCTAGAGTTTATTCATAGCCCCTTTAAAATTGAAAATTCAACATGGTCAAATACAGTGTCAACTAAAAAAGCTAATTAGACAACGTACTGTGACGTTCATTTACTCATCTAATGTCCACCGAGCCCCACAAATATTCTGTGAAAACGGCATCGGCGTATTTATCGCGTTTTTAGTGTGTTGATGTTAAAAGTCGCGCTATATATATATATATATATATATATACCCGTTATTATAATTTGAGTACACTGACTGCAAGCACTGAAAGTAGACCTTTAGTATACTTAAGTGCACTTTCTGTATACTGATTTTGAACTACTTTGTACTGCGGGCACTACGATTCTACTACATGTACTAGTTTCGTACGGACGAGTATACTTTCAGTCCACCGCCATTTTTACTGGAAGTATACTTTAAGTACACTTAAAGTATACAGTCAGTACAAAGACCGCACTGAAAGTATACTTTTAGTATACTTCAGTACACTTCGAGTGTACTGATTTTGAACGACTTTTCGCTAAGGGTATAGTTTTAAAAAAGAACGTTCTAAATTTTTCCGAACAGGCCCTTTTGCAAAGAACAATATACGACATTATTCTTATTTCTGCGCGATGAGTATTTTTCGGAGGAACGATTTGGCTCATAGCTTAATTCCGTCCCTGTGTACGAAATATTTTTGACGGCCTTTGCTTCTCCCGGATGATGGGAGAACTACAAAACACTTTACAAGTCAAAGCCCATCTTCAAGGTGGAAGCCCGGTGGTCGTCCTCTTGTGCGAATACGATGCGCTCCCGAACATCGGCCACGCTTGCGGACACCATCTGATCGCCGAGAGTGCGGTGGCCGCCGGCATTGGCGTCAAGGAGGTGCTCCAGCGGGACTCTTCGCTCCCAGGAAAGGTACGGCCGACACATTTGGCCTCGCTTCAGTTCAACCGGCTTAATTACGGTATCAAAACTCGTAAGCTATAAAGTGTTTCTTCTCACTCAGACATAGAGCATGATGTTTCACGAATGTACGTCATTTGGATTGAATTGAATTGAACCTTAGTTCAGCAACATTATGCCGAGGACGGTGGACAAAAAGCTACTAAGAGCTAACTTGGGTAAATCCGGTGCCCTCGCACGTACAGGAAAGGCATGATTTAAAAACAATCCTATTTGAACATTTCTAAAAAATAATAGAAAACAACTCAACATATTTAATGCAAATTTACATGAAAAAAATTCGAAACATTCTCATAAAATTCCCGCCAAATCAATTACATTGACCTAAATAAGACAACAAGTGTCCATTTTTTTTGTGTTTTGTTATAAAATAAGTAATAAAGCGGTTCATGCAAATGTTATTAAGCCGTGTAGGTAAGTTATGACCAGAAGACACAGGCCTCTCTGCCCGAAGAATACTCCACGCTGTGTGTTTCCTCCGAGCACTGGAGCTGTCACCGAGTTCCGAGCCTCAGGGGGATGTTTTCGCGAGACAGCACGTCTGGTGTTGTATACACTGTGCATCTCTGTGGCTGCATGGCGGAAGGAGGACGCTTCATTATCTGCGACAACTTCACGCTGTTTCTAGTGACATACTCCTGGTAGGCCCACCTGCCTTAAAATACTCGCGCTGAGTGCAAAAACACTCGGGCATCGAGACGCCGCCCTGGAAATTGGTCTGGCGGCAGTCAGCTTCCGCGTCGCGCATTTGTGCATTTGTGTCACTCGTGTGTCGCGTATTTCTTTTGTGGTGTTCGGAGATTCGGACCTAAAGCGGCAAACATTTCGAGCCAAAAAGCTTTAACAAAGAGTGTTTAGTCGCGCAGAAAATGCAACGCGAGCCGCCCTGGCCGCCCGCTTCATCCAGCCTATCCAGCCCATGCTTTAGTGGCGCCCTCTAGAGCCGTCGATACAGAGTGCGGCAGCCGTGAGCGTTCGCTGAGCTCAATAACCTTCCTAGTTCAGGGCCACCAAAGCCAGGACCAGAAACTTTATGAAGGAGGTTATTTGTTGCTTGTTTTTGTCATTTTAATTTGCCTGTAACTTCTAAAATAAAGCGAAATTCGAGAAAATAACAGTTTCACTAGGCTACTACGTTCAGTGAGCTCTGGTTCGGTGCAAATTAAAAACCAGTCAAAAAGTCGTTGCCGGGCACCTTAAGAAAGGCAGGGCGTGCAAATCCCGAGCTTCTTGCTATCGCCTCGAACACAATTATGTTTCTCTATTAGCTAATAAGAACGTCGAAGAACGAATGTCTGTGCAAGGCACGTAGTAAACGACGCCCTGTGCTTCTTAAGCTTTCATTGGCTACAGTTACTGACAGGTTCAGAACCGAACTTTGTGAACTCCCTGCACAAAAAGAGGCCCAAAAAAAATAAAAGTTTTTTTTTTTTTTTTTTTATAGAACTTTTGGTCAAATTTGACGCATTTCAATTTTAGTAAACTTCAAGGTACTCTCTGCCTGATTCAGTACACTTGTCGAGACGTTTATTCAGATAATCAAAACAACCTTTAATCTTGTCGATGCCGATGCCTTCCAGCGATCCTGCCATTGTTTGTTTCACCTCTTTTACGTCGGCAAACCGGTTCTCTTTAAACACTTCTTGCATCGGAGAAAACACAAAAGTCATACTGGGCGAGGTCGGGTAAATAGAGAGGATCGGACACGGGGATCGTCCCATTTTAAGACAAAAAACTGCGGAATACTCGCGTGGTGTGGAAAAGCGAGTTGCCATGATGGACTGAAAATCTAGTGAAGCGAAACACAAATTTCGCTGCAAAATATTTTTTGTGTACATTCTCCCATAAATCTGTTGACAAAAGCTCGACAACACTCCAGTCAACCTCAAGTTTATCAATCATTTGACGATATAGTTGTCTAAGATTTCTTGCCACACAATCTTCAATCCGTCTGATCGAAAGACTCTCGGAACGAGGTTCATTGTCAATCGACATTTTGCCTTATTTAAAACATGAAAACCATTCGTAAAATTCTGTTTTACTCTGAACAGCCTTTTGTTAGACGTTTGTAGCATAACAACCGTCCCCGCCGCAGTTTTCTTCAACAAAAAACAATATTTTTGCGGCGGGCGTTGTTTGTCAATTATCACGAAATAGTCAAACGCGTTGAAAGTGTCTCCAAAAGCAATCCACTGAAACCCAACAGAGTGTCTCAGAACGCCAACTCGTATACTGATGAAGACAGGTCACTGGAAAACGCATCTAGCGGTTGAAACTTTACTACAAGGTGTCCACCCTCCAGAAACTATTTCCGGTTATTTTTGGGTCCCCCTTCGTATTTGCAACTTTCACGACCTATAGGGGGCGTACTGGAGCCTATCAAAATGGCTTTTATCTGGATGATCGTCGTAGAACAGCAGTACGAGGCTGGGCTTGCGACGCGTGAGAAATTCCAGTTTTGCTGTAAATGAGCTGTGTTATAGCCTAAGTTCATTTTTTGCACGTCAGGAAGGTATTTGCAAGCACCTTTTTTGTGAAGCCGGTGATCCAGGAGCTAGGGAGCGCGATTCTCACACCGCGGTACCACCATCGCTGAAAGTTGCGAATGCTTGTCCTCGTCTCGCAGCATCTACCTATTCACGGTAAGTTTCAGTTGATCGTCCCGGTGATTTCAATAACAACCCAATAGTCATCCGACGCCTTTGAGGGCGCCTCATATCGTTTTAGGTATCGTTATCGGTGGTACAAGAACGATCTGCTAAAACTTTCTAATAATGAGTTTTAGTAGATCATCAGATAACTCTGATAAGGATACCGAATAATACTCCATTGGTGCCTTCGCGCCTTGATTGTATCGTTATCGTGTATTTTCATCGGAGTCATATCGGATCGTTCAACTAATTCCTATTTCGGGTGGCCATTTCCCGGCAGAATATTTTACCACATTTTCGGTAAAGGCGTTCGCGTGATTAAAGGCTGGCGGGTGCTCGTTGTTCAGGTGACGCTTTTCAGGCCTGTGCCGGCGGTTCGCCGGCATAATTTTTACCCTAGCTACAAAAGATCGCGCCGCTTGCCTGCCCGACTGCATTTGGTATCGTCCTACCCAAATTAGGAAAGGAAACCAAACGAAACAATGCTCGCAGATATCGGGTTTTGATCACAAACAAATCTGTCGAAACAGACACAAATTTGTGCTCCGAGAAAAATAACGAAAAGAACGAATTTGAAGATAACTGATGATTTAAAGGGAGCCACGTGTTTTGGAAGAAGCTTGCGCAAGGTCAGTTCCCTCTTTGACATGGCGCGTTGTTACACTGCTGTGAAAAAAATAAATATATGAATGAATGGCGGCGCAGCTCGATTCCAAAGAAAATAATCACAAGAAAATAGAATGTGAAAACCGCCACTGGTAAGCCCTCTTTGGAGTCTCGTTAAATGGCGATAGTTCTTCAAAAATACATCAAAATATATTGAAATTTGACGCGTTCGCGGGCAGTGCAACATAGGTTCATTCATCTAATCTCTCAATATTTTTTTTATTTAAAAATTTGTAAGTTGGGCCAATAAATGCCACTATTTAAAAGAACTATCGATGAGCTACTTACGCTAACGCCCATACTAGAAAATCTGAAGTTTGGTCGTTGACGCATAAAACGTGCCCATTGTACCATATAATAATCGAGGGAAGAGATAGTAATAGTTTACGCGGCACTCACGCAAACAAAAATGCATGACCGGCGCTTTGTGTTCGAGTGGAGAGCGTCACGTAGTGCGCCGCTAGAGCGTTTTTGGGTGCAGTGCCGGCGGCAGGGGATCGCCGGTGATTGACCACCTGAATTCGCCATAAAACTCTGCTGACGACAGTGGGGGATACAAAAACTGGCAGGAAATACTTTACTGGGGAATACGTCTTACTCCGTGAAAACCCGATGGCATTAGCTCCGACAGCTTTTGCATAGTTCAAACGGCTGGACGCGCGCATCCCCTGGGTCTTCTTCTTTGAACTGTAAGGGGTTGTTAGCTGGCGCCATCTGTCGCAGTGGGCACTTTTGGAGACAGAGGAGGCAGCCGTCTGTCTTGGCGGTATCTCCGCGCGACCGTCCCTCTTCCTCGCTTCGTTCATCCGCCTTCTTATCGGCTTTAATACGTTCTGAACCCACCACTTCCTGCGTTTCAACTCTCAGGGACCATAGTAAAGTATCTGTCGCAGTTCCACGCCTGTCCTTGCCTGGTCGCTAGCGTTGCCTCCGTCGCCTCCAAAGTAGTGTCCGTCGCCCGCTACAGCCGGTTCTCTACAGCCAGTTCCCAGGATTTCGGGAACCCGCCGCATAGTCCGCTTTGCAACAGATCTACTCTAGATGCTGGAGTTTTCCGCGCTATTTATTTGACAAATAATTCTAGTTTGCGAGCCAAAGTCACCAGTTCTGCGTGTCCGAAGGTCGTGGTTCTGGGAACACCTGCCGAAGAAGCCGGACACGGGAAGGCGTACCTCATCGACGGGGGCGCCTTCGAGGGTGCCGACGTGGCCATGATGATTCATCCGGCTCCCGTGAACATCGCTGTCTTCCCAAGCCTCGCTCTCGCCACGGTAACTGCTCACTTTTTTGCTACGATTGCGACTACGCGCAAACAGGACGCACTAAGGTTCAGTACGGAAAATCAGGAGCGTGTGACGTTTCTAAGAAATCATAAGATCCGTTCTGTTTTATTGACAAATTTGTCATCCTACCAGTGTGCACGTGCCGTGTTTGTTTGTTTTTTCACCTCGGCGGATAAACTTTATTGTTTCGGTGGCCGCTTGTTTTAGGTTTTTCTTAATTACCTGGTGAAACGAATAAAACAGCTTTTTTTTTTTACTGGTATTTTTCAAATTGTAAAAAACAACTTTAGATTTTGCACTTGTTTCATCCAGAGTATTTATTACGTTAATAAAAAAATGATCGGTACGTTACGGACGAGCGTTAAAAAAACATAAACAAATTAATTAGGATGACAGGTACGACACCTCGTTTATTACGTCGAAGTTGTATGAGGTGTAAATTAGAGTGGTCCAAGAGACGGTGCACCGCCAGCTCACACGCAAAAAATGGCATGAGTTGCTCTAGAAATCAACAAGTGCCAGAGTTCCCTTACGCTCCTATGGGCGTACTAACTTCCACGCCAATGAAACATTATATAGATGCGCTTCATGTAACTGCACGTTTAGCCTTCGTAAAATCTGCATAGCGGGACAATATTAGCGCGTACGAATGATCACCAGTTTTTTACGTGAAACGTTCTTTGGCTAGTTGCACCGGCTTTCGCGAAGCCGGATTAAGTGAGGCGGGATTTCGTGAAGGGGGCCGTGGCCAGTGACGTCATGATTTCAGTTTCCCCGCTAGATTCAGCTTCAAATTGACGTCACGTGACCTATACACTAATATAGATTCTCCGCTAAATTTGGCGAGAAAAGTGACGTCACAAGACTTCGTGTCACGTGACCTACACACTTAGATAGTAAAAAGCTAGTAACTGCAGCCGTTACTATCTTTTCTGACTGTTACTACCTTTTTATTAGCCATTTACTACCCCAAAGGTGCATACAATATAGCGGCGTCTGCTGCATCGCCGATGGCCATGCGTTAGCGACGCACTTACTGTTCGGAAATCAGGAGGAGTTATCCGCACACAATCGCGGCATCAAGTATTGTAGGAGGGGACATGTTTAACGGTTGAGGGGCTGACTTTACAACGATCGCAGCCTCCGTTTCAGCACGTTGTGGAAGCCAGCGCTGCCGCGAGCGCAACCAGGCCGCAGCTATTGTTGATGCAATGGCCACGCGGCTTCTGACTTTCCTTCACGTTTGCATTCTTTTGGAAACGTTTATATTTTCATTTTGGCTTTAACTGGGATAAAAATTGTCGCGTAGCACGTGCTAAAACGTTTCCCCAAGAGAAGAAAAGTCCAGGTTGAGCGGCGTCGGCGTCGCCGTCACCGGTTGCACTATGGAAACGTCCCATAATGCAACCGCGCGCGTTGCATTAAGGGTCGTTTGCCCGCTAAAGTTAGCGGGAAAATTTCCACGCTAACTTTAGCAGGAAAATTTCCTTGCGAAATTTGGTGGGGAAATAGATGTCACGTGACCTCAACACCAATTACGTTTCCCCGCTAAATTTAGTGGGGAAAAAGACATCACGACTTCGAGTTTCATCACCCATGAACAAATTCAGCGGCAGGAGGAGAGGAGGATGAAAGGAGGAGGAGGAGGAAGTGAGGAGGAAGAGGGCCATACCCTCCCCTCCGCACCACCCCCTCCTCCTGCTCAAAAGCTGCGCTCTAATTTCGCGTTACAAAGATTTGTAAACGTCTTTCTTTTTTTCTTTTTTTTTTTATTCTTGCATTCAATAAAATATATGGTTTTTTTTTCGCGAGAGACGCTTGGCAACATTGTACGACAAGTAGCTCGGAACCAGTCGGAGTTTTCCAGACGCACATTTCTGCAATCCGAACCTGCCGTTTTTGCTGTGTGTCGTGTGCTGTCCAAGGATGCGTCCATCTGCTGCTCGTTAATTTTCAGTTGAGAGTGGAATACAGAGGCAAAGAATCTCACTCCGGTGCAACTCCCTGGGAAGGAATCAACGCCCTGGACGCCGCCGTTGGAGCCTACGTTAATCTCTCGATGCTCAGACAGCAAATGAAGCCTTCTTGGAAACTCGGAGGTAAGAGTGACGCAAGATGGCCCGGGATTTTTTAAGCCAAAGTTTGTTGCAGCAGGATGGGTTTATTAGTAAAACACCCGGCAGATTTTTTTTTAATAAGTGGGAGAAAAATATCACTCATAAGAGACAGCGACGATATGCAAAAAGGTTAAGTAGGAAATCAAAAGATATCTAAATAAATATAAGAAGTCGGCTTTCTCGAGGAATACGAAATACAATTAAAAATTTTTTATCCCGATACAGAAACATATATACATATGTATATTTAAAATACTGTACCACGATAAAATAAATTTGTGATACAAATATAAAATGCATTTGTATCACGATAGAGCCGACCTTGCTAACGCGCATCATGCAGTAGTGATACACGACTGTACGCCGGTACGATGCTCATCCAGATCGAAACGTGAAGGGGTGGGGATTGAATCCAGGATTCCTGGGTTCTGCAGCGGGAGCTTTCGCTTCACGTGCTCCGAGCTGCGTTGCGCTAACACACGCGGCTAACACACATGGCCTGTACCGACCGTAAGCAGACCGTACACAGGCATACAGAACCTCGGAAGTGAAATCCAAAACAATTGAAAGAAAACTACTCTTCAGAATGAAAAGCAAAATACTTGTGATCCTGACAATACGCTGGCAGTCTATCGAGTGTTTCGCGGTTGTTTTTTTGTCGGCCCATTCTTCATAAGCTTTTTGTCGGTATTTGCTCCGACTGCTGATGTGCATGATGGCTGATTTAACTAACATCATATTATATCGAAGGAGAATAAGGATGGTGGCAAAACCGCACTTGAGTATTTTCGTTTTGTTTTCTTTTGATTCAAAATAACCCTTCCATAAAGCAAATGATTTCCATCTAGACATTGTACAAAATTTTTAAAGGGCAGTGTAAGACCAATTTAAAGTCATTAAGATAACATTCAATTATTAGACTTCCTCAACAGGTTGCAAAAAAGAAAAAACCGCTCAATTTGCATCGAATATCCTACAGGTACTCGGTATAAATTATTTAGGACTATCTAAGACATCGGTCGAGAAATCGAACAATATATTGGCACAGCATAACAACTACCAGTCGTTGCTAAAATGCTACAGCTCGCCTGATGCGATGCTGGCATCAGCATGGGATGCCGAAGTGCATGAAGTTAGCGTTTTTGTATTCCATTGAAAAATCTGCTTTTCTCACAACAGTCTCAATTTGCTTTCGTGTATTCGTGAGTTCCACTGGACCATTTTTTTCTCATTGCAAGTTTCGAAACTTAGTTTCAAAATGTTTAATAGCATAACGCTAAGCATTCAAAATGACATTTATCCCAAACACTGCGGCATGTCGTCAAATTATAGGGTACCGGCAATCCGCTTTTTTTTTTGTATGTATGTGTGAATTCAAAACGGCGGTTTCTTTTTTCTGGTGAATTCCCCGTTGTGTTATACTTTCACTGCAAACTTAATCTATACTTACGGGATTGAGCATACGACTGCATTAAACTAAACCTGCATCTCGTCTTTTCTCACTCTGCAGTAAATACCATCTCGCTGGTACCCTAAATCGAGGCTGAGTTCTTGTGCAGAAACATTACTTCGAACAAGCCTACATGATTGAGAAACATATCTATAAACACATAGTTCTACTTAAGTCGTTTGAGAGTGTGATATTAATAGCGTCACATTGATTGAAGCCCAGTTTCCTTTCAGCTACTATCAGCGACAAGGACTCGAGGGCCAACGTGACGCCGTCAGTGTACTCTATGGAGGTAACCATAAGAGCACCGAAATCTCACGAACTGGCTGAACTTAAAAGTAAAGTGGAGGCGTGTCTGAACAGCGCGGCTACAGCAACGGGTTGTGGAGTGGATGTCACATTGAAAGACCCAATCGCACAAGATGTCGTCACAAACACTGCTCTGGTTAAAGTATACCAAAAAAACGCAGAAAAGCTTGGTGAGCACGAATCTTCATTATTTTCGTGGGTTCTGATAATAATTCAATTTTTTATCATACTTTTGGCCATTAGGCCAGAGCAGGTGGTACGTTGAAAGTAAGGGTAATCTCAAATTTTGAAAATATTATTTAAAAAAGTAAACAGATTTCTACTATTTACAGCGGCTGTGTTCCAAATCTTACTAAATGAATCCGAGTTACTCCGGCGGGTAGTGTCACGTGAGAACACAGATAGAAAAACGCTGGTCGAGGGTAGGTTTTGGAACGCCAAGGTACAAAACCCTTACCCTGGAGTAAGTTCGAGTAAATTTTGGAACACGGCCAGCATTAGTCAATGGACACGCACTGTTCCATTTTTGGATGCACTTAACACATATAAGAGTTAAAACAGTCCGTGTTAAAACGATGAGACTATCTGTCATGTTTTGTTCTAGTGGCGTTATCACAGTCTTCGTACGTAATATAGTTGAGTATATCAGTAAAGTAATCACCCTGTAGCAAGTAAGACATTATTTCTTCCTAGCCAATATCTCTCTGGTGCATATAGACCTTTTCCTTCTCCGTCGCATGGCCACTTCCATCATGGAATCACGTGACACGGCCGCCATAAGGTGACTTCCAACTCGTCGCTCCTCTCTTTCTTAAGCACCTTGGTGGACACATTCTATTCGTGCCTTTCATCTCGTTTCACAGCGTTTTTTCCTTACTCTGTAAAGTGTTGTACGATGACTTAAAGAGTTGTTACCTTTAAGGGGTAGGCCAAGTCGGCCAAGCCTCCATCTTAAGATATTGTGCGGTGCTCATATTTACTCTCCAATTTCACGCCATGATAGTGTTCCCAACTTCTGCATTTTACTCTGCAACGCGATTTCACTATTTTTATCCTTGACCTAACACATACGCGTGAGAAAGCTAGAAGAGACACAAAAATCAGCGTTATCGTGACGCACATTATTTATGCTGGCGTTGAGGGGCCGATTGCGTACGACAGCTCAGGTATTCTTCGCAATAGTAGCGAGATATTTTAAACAATTCGCGCAAGACATATTTATGTTCGCGCATCTAGGATCTAAGAAAGGTGAAAAATAGTTAACTTAACGAGGCACCATGTGTGTTTCCTCAAGGCATCGTGCTCCGCCTTTGTAAGAAATACAAAATAGTTTCTCTTAATTAGGGGTTACTCGTGCAGATGGGTAACGAACGCTGAGTTTGTATTTTATATAATCCTAAGAATGATGGTATTGAGAACACCAAGCAATTTGTTTGTTATTTGTTTGTTCGTGATGCACCTAAATGTGTCAGGCATCTTTATTCATATCTGCGATTAAAACATTCGCTTGCTCGATTTATTTATAAATTTAAAGACTTTACACCGTGCTCGGTCCCATGTCTGGAGCCATTCAAGTGATTTAAAGATCTTCAGATATAAAATTCAATGAATGTATCTTAGTTGTTCAACTACAAAGGGTTTGACTCCCCGGATAAAAAAAAATAATGTATCCCAGTGAGCTTGAGAGTGCCTGAGGCCCGCAATATGTGAAGCCCAAAGGCAGCCGTCTGCATAAAATTTCCCCGAGTGCAGCGTTGTCAATGCTGGGTAAATAATTTACTTTAAGTGGCTTGCTATGACAAAATATAGACAGCGAATTTGTTCCGTCGAATAAAGGCCTTTCTACACAGGTTCATGAGGCGGTGCTTTCCATTCGATTTTAATCGAACGTTTTCTGGCGCCTCATGATTTAATTCATGTCAAACTTTACAGAACACGAATGCCAGATTTCAATTGGCCGACCTGTCACTTATCTTATGTTCTTTATGCGTCGGACTCAAAAGTCTTTATAACAAGTAGTATTTTCGTAAGGCAAGCATTGTGAAATCCTCTTAATGAGAACTTTAACACGACTGATAGTTAAGTAAGTTTTTTACCTGGCATAAGATGTACTGTCAAATTATTTCTCCAATACTCAATTTCATTAAATAAAACAGCCCGAAATTAAATTACTTTTTTTTATTTTTTGCATTTTAATACAAGACCTCTCCAGTTTCTGAAGTCCACAAAAAGTTCATGTCCGCGAAAACCAAACGTCGAGCAGTAAATGTGAGAGTTCATCTATTCTTCGCGGTTCAACACATTGTTAACTATGTTATCGGCCTGATTTCACTGTCCATTTCCGCATTATTCCCCTGATTTGTTTATATATTGAAATCCAGGGACAATGGGTAAGGCCGTAGACGATGGTAATCCTCTCTGTCCATCTGTTTAGTCATTTCGCCGTCGAACCTGGTCGAAGTTAACGACAAAACTTACCAGAGGAATTATAGGGTGTTTGTAAAAAGCTTCAAAATTTATACTCGGAACTACTTTGTGGCCTTGACAGCGGCTCAATACCACTCATTATTTGCTTGTGTGCTACTGCGGACACATTTGTACCGCAAAAGTAAGCAAAATCCACATGAAACAACAGCACATCCGGGAGCACGCTGAAACATAAATCAACCAACTTGAAGCCACCTAATGGCGGTGAAGGCTTCAGTTCCCTCTATCCGCTGGTCAGACAACTACTGAGAGGAAAATATCTAAGTGCAAGCACCCCTACACACAAGCACCCATGCTGGCTGCTTATTGGAGTGGCATTTTTTATCTGATCCCTCCCCCCCCCCCCCCCTTCCAAGAGCTTCACAGTTTTGCAAGAAGATACCGCGAATGTTAATCTAAATCACGCACATCTAGCTGTACATTGCTTCAGCTTTTTGTGACATGTAACACAACTATGGCAACAGTATTTGATAGTTGGAGCTGTGAATGTAGTTGATGCTGTGAATGTAGTTGATGCTGTTGAATCGCTATCCTATAAACTCTTTACGGCACCACTCTGTTCAAGGAATCAGCCCTTGTAAAGAGAGCGGCGAAAGGTTTCGCTGGAGTTGTCGTTAAAACATATTGCAAGTAATTTATTACTTTCAACACTAAAATACTTTTTCCATGCCCGATGTAATTTTCTGGTCTGGAGCCCTCTCTTTCTTGATGCCTTGAAGGCATCGACAGCAGTAGTTGCAATACACAATCTACCAAAAACATATCACAGAGGTTCTTTCACCGCCAAACTAAAGTACACATGCCGAACACTCATTCTATGCCCAGATCTAGCGCTAGCCGTCTGAACCAGATGCCAAAGTTTCAGAAGTAACCGTTATCTTATGCAAACGTTTTAAGCGATTCTCTGAAAGTAGCATTAAGAAGACGGCGGACGACAAAGCTCTTGACATGGAGCTGAATGGCGTCAGCTGCCGAAAACGAGCCCCATTTCGACAAAAACCCCGAGACTGGGACAAAAAGGGACGGACAAACACAAAGTCTCAAACACAGCTGAATTTTATTTGACAAGGAAGGGTGCTTATATAGGCGTCAAATCCTACACAAATCAAGAGACGAAGGAAAGAGAGGGAGAAACCTTCACAAACAAAAGAGACGAAAAAAAGAAGAAAAAAGAAAAAAGAAAACCCGTGCCACAAGCAGTACAACAAAAAACAAGCATTACAATAGAACTGAAAAGTTTATACAAAAACAAAAGCTAAGTAGAAGGACTAAAGTGCATTAGTCCCCAAGAGACCCCAACACTACAACAGGTCGTAGTGTTGGGGTCTCTTGGGGACTAATGCACTTTAGTCCTTCTACTTAGCTTTTGTTTTTGTATAAACTTTTCAGTTCTATTGTAATGCTTGTTTTTTGTTGTACTGCTTGTGGCACGGGTTTTCTTTTTTCTTTTTTCTTCTTTTTTTCGTCTCTTTTGTTTGTGAAGGTTTCTCCCTCTCTTTCCTTCGTCTCTTGATTTGTGTAGGATTTGACGCCTATATAAGCACCCTTCCTTGTCAAATAAAATTCAGCTGTGTTTGAGACTTTGTGTTTGTCCGTCCCTTTTTGTCCCAGTCTCGGGGTTTTTGTCGAAATGTTTAACCACCACCAGCTCGTTTGCGCCCTTACCTTTTGTTCACGAGCCCCATTTTCTCATTTCTATTTTCAGAAAGTCGTATAACTTTTGATTAAGATAAGGGTTAGTTCTGAAACATTGGCATCTGGCTCGGACCACTAGCCCTACATTTCGGCAAGGAATGAGCATTCCGCGATAAGTATAGCTTATTTTTTTAGTAAAAATATTGTTGAAAAATATGTTTTTTTGTGGTTACCAACGGGGCGGGGCGGGGGAGGGGGGGGGGGGGGAGGGGAGGGGGGCCACGTTGCCCTTCGCATGTTTGCATGTCTCGCATTCATTCGTGCCTGATAAATTAAACATCAATGCGCACAGGCAGCGGCGTTTAACTGGGGTATACCGAATTTCAGCCGAGATGCGACTGTGAGTTCCTGTAGCAGCCAAGCATAGCATTGCTTGGTTCCTTTAGCACCATCGTTTCAAGAAGTAACTCTTTGAAACAATGAAAAATATCATGTGATACTCAGTAAAACAGTCTTTAGACCCAAACGTCCCGGCAGGTAATATGCAGGCGCTACAAGCATTATATATATATACACTCTCAGAAAAAAAGGTGTACTACTACACCCCTTGTCCCATATAATACACCCCAAAACTTCAATTCGGCGTACAGCGCCCCATAATCGAACAGACGGCCCCAAAGTTGACGAGGGGCTTGATAGCCGTGTGGTACAACTTATTAAGATAGCTGATGTACGCATTATTGACTACAAAAAAGATTATCGGAGTTTTCTTGGCCGTACTGCAAAAGCTCCGTGTTTTCTTTCTTTGGTGTTTGATACGCACTTTAGTAATTTAATAAGTTATATCGCACCGTTATCAAGCCCCTCGTAAAATTTTGTGCCGTCTGTTCGACTATAGGGCGCTGTACGTCGAAATGAAGTTTTGGGGTGTATTATATGGGACAAAAGGGTGTAAGGTGATACCCTTTTTTTTTAGAGTGTATATATATATATATATATATGTGTGTGTGTGTGTGTATAAAACTGAGAAGAAAAAAAACCTTAGTGAAAACAGTAACAACGGACGATTTAATCTTCGACGTTTCGGCCGGACTCCGGCCGAAACGTCGAAGATTAAATCGTCCGTTGTTGCTGTTTTCACTAAGGGTTTTTTGTCTTCTCAGTTTTATACCCCCGCCTTTTCGGCCTCCCGTCACCATGCCCATTATATATATATATATATCAGTTGTTTCGGCTCCACTGCAATAAAGCCAATTGAAGAAAAAAAACTTTGCATGCTGACTGTTCATTAGACTGTAGTTTCACTATTGCCTTTATTATGAAAGATAACAAAGAATCCGTTATACAATGCCTAAAAGTTGTCTTGCCTCTAGCCATCTGTCCCATCTTTAGCATGTTCTCTTTCCAAATCATCCTCTTTGTCTCTTTCTCTTTTTTATGTTCTTCTCTGTAACGCAAAACGATAAAATGAGCAAAGGGGATGATTGAGTAATGGAGCACAACTAGAATGAATATCGCATCTCATTCTGCGTTCGTGTCGAGCCGCGAGGAATGTGCCTGATGCATAACTTGTTTGAAAATGAGGAGTACTTATATCTCCAAATAAAATCGGTACAGACTCAATTAGATTTTTGAAGTCTCTCATTAGTTTCGTTTCTTCGGAATTTCAGAATGATTCGCAGAATCAAGGGCATTGGTTAGGCAAGATGGCCCTCAGCTACCCTTAAATCACACTCAGCTCTTTTTTTTTTTATTGTTGTTCCTCTTCTTGGGTAATTTCGGTCGGATTTCCTGTCCTTTAGTGTTGGTTGTTTGCATGAATTTGTTATTTCCTGCTTCGTTCTGTATACTGTCTTTCATAAGACTTACCCACCTATATCAGCACCACATTCACAATCTCCAACTTTTTACCCCCTCTTCAGCATTATTTACACTTGTTTTGATAGAAACAAGTGACAGGCTGTCTCTGGGATGTTCATTCGAAACAATACAAACATTTCTGTTCCACTTCGGAGAACAACAATTTCTCCACGCTATGTCTTACATGCTCCACTTTCTCGCACTGCCAACACCCACTACTTACTGATCTCAGCAGACACTGACTTTCTCTGCATAACTTGGTGAGAAACAAGAACCTTGACTCGGATATGTCTAAATACATTGTGTTAAAATAACGCTCTCCAGACCAGCACCTGTCGGCAGGTTGTACGTCTCTTTCATCCTGAAAATGCGGTGCGTAGTTTTCACAACGAATGTTGTCCTGGGCTCCGTGAAACACTTTCTAGGTATACCTACTCCGCGCCTTTTGGTACGTTTTTCGTTTATTGCACCTGAAATTAATATTAATTAAAATACTTTAAACAATAAAAAAAACTTAACTTTCTTTTTGTTTTGTTTTTTACGTAGAAATGTTTAAAATTTTCAGCGAGTTCTGGCTTTTAGAAAAAATTAGAAAAAATAACCTCACTGGTTAATGACACGAAATTACGGAAAAAGTATTTCGCCACAGCCATGACCATAGTGACTCAATGAAACAAAGCGTTTCCATTATTCCAAATGTCTTACAAAAAATGTCCAACTGTTTAGGAGTGCTGGACAACGAATGACACTCTAAGAAATGTCCATGCCAGGTTCCGCAGAGGCCCTGAAATGTCAGTTCCTGCAATGACGAAATGCGCAAAAACATTATAAGACGAACAAAAATCATTCGAAAAAAAAATGTACTGGCGACAGGACACTGAGTTGATGTTCGAAAACGGATAATATTTTCAGTTTCAGGATGGAGAGCTTTTCGTTTATTTTTTAGCAGAAACGTTTTTGTATTCGTAATTTGCAAAGTTATCTTCAAATATTGCAGTCCTCGGTCTAACGAAGGTCCAGTGGGAAACTTGTCGCGCGGGCCTTTTTTCTTCTTTATTAAGACGACGAGTTGTGCCTCTCATTTTTATTTATAATGGGAATATACGGCAAAAAAACGAGGGCAAGAAAATGACTGGCAGACAAGTAGGCCACCACATTGTTGACCTCATTTCTTTTGCGTATTTTTTATTGTATTTTTTCTGCTTTAAAAACCTTGTAATTCTGTGCTTCTCACACCCTTGCAACTTACAACTTACACCTTCCCGCCCCCCGCCCCACGGCCTTTCGCTATGCCACAGATATTTTTGTTTTGGTTATTTGTGTGCCTGAACTGTAATGCAAAGATTGACGCTCAAAGCTATTTCTCATTAATGTAGTAACTTTGACTTAGCCGGAAAATAAACAAGAGCATATAAAGAAGCAAGCGGACGAAATCCAATGACTGCATCTAATAACTAAATCGAGCTCCTTTGCTAGAGTGATTTCTCAAGAAAAGGGCAGATATTGAGCTCCACAACTCTCAGTTCCAGCTAGATGTCGAGCTGCGACCTGTACTTCATTTTCATCGACGTTACCCTAGAGAATTCAAATCCGTTTTGTTTGCTGCTTCATTTTAAGTTTCCAAGCCGCTTCGCGATACCCCGCCGGGTGAAAACACAGGGTTCGGAAAACACTGCCCTAACCTTTCTCCTTTGGGCTTACAATATAGACGCTTTACGCGCGCGGCAGATGACAGCCGCCATTGCTGACCTTCTCTCTTCTTAGCGAGATATCGCCCCACTGGAACGGGCGTTGAAGACCATCCACGAAGATCAGTGCTGGGGAGGACACAATACAATCTAATATGGCAATAACCTGAACTGCTATGGTAGTGATGAAATGATGTAAACAAAATAATAGAAAACAAAAACATCTGAAGGTCTGCTATTGCGGCGCCCATGCACAGCTACTGCAAAGCGTCTATGAAGCCCTGAAGGAGTCATAGTGCCGTCTCTTCCGTCTCAAATGAAATTGACTTAACAAAACTGATAGACCGCGAGTTCTCACGATAGATTAGACTATACGTATGTTACGAGATAGAGAAACATTATTTAAGTGAAGTAAGTGTTATTAATATGTATGATGTTGCACGCGAAACTTTCAAATTATAAGATTAATTAATGAAACAATCCACCGCAAATACGAATGGCGTTATTGGCAATTTTATTTCAGGCATGCGGTTTCCCGACACAAGCAGGTTTCCGGCAATGATAGGAGCCTCTACGGACGCTGGAAACGTGTCACACATCCTTCCCTTGATTCATCCTACCTTCAGATTGAACACGAAAGCAATCAATCACACGGCTGAATTCGCAGACGCTGCCAGAGTTCAAACCTCGTACGAACTGACACTGACGGCGGCCCAAGCGCTCTCGCTGACAGCTTTGGAAGTAATCAGAGACCCCAAACTTTTGAAAAAGGTGAAAGACGAATTTCAGGAAAATCAAACTCAGAAATGAAGGCGGCAAGATGCACTGCTACTTTCGTGAGCAATAATTTTCGAAAAAACCCCACCTGTCAGGACTTCCTAATAATCCATAGTGAGCGAGAACTATCATGATAACCTAACTGCACATTTTTAACTATTTGCTGGAAGAATCATAATGTATTCATGAGCTCAATTCGCTTGTGAATGCAGCTGCACGATAAATAAAATATTTTCGCACCACATATGTAAAACGTTCAGCTTCTCTTTTTCAAGAACTTTGGAATGCAGGCACTGCTCAAAAACCTGAAACTGGGGTGTCTGAATTCGAAGAGTGAAAGCGCGAACAAAAGGAGGACAATGAAGACAAATAAACTACAGGAGAGACTCTCAACTTATTTTATTAGAAACCATCACCACTTATATACCCACACTTATTTGCCCGACTTGCATCATAACCAATCACCACAATTACAAGCAGCTATCCATTTTGTTCGCGCTTTTAGCCTTTTAGTCCACTATGAACCAACTCGCCCAAAAACAAGTTCTTATGATGTTGCTGACATGTTCTTTGCTGTCCCGCCGAGTAAACACTCAACATAATTTTTTCTGCGTTTCATATTTTGCGGTCTGTTGCCTTCGCATTGAAAGTTACAGAAACTTTGAAATAATAAATAAAAAAGCGTTTCCAGCACTGTTCTATAGTCTCTGCCCTCAGCAAATCTTGTAAACACCAACGTGGTCCAAGTTTTGAAAAACAGATTTCCAGACTACGCGATGCAGAACATCCGACAACTCTCCTCGGAGACGTTTGTGAGGACATTTGCAAGCATTCGAAACAAACAAGGGGAGACTAAAAAAAAAAAAGGAAGATACTAGAAAAATATCTCCGTTCTTCCATACATCCACTGAATTATTCACAACGTAAAATGATCGCTGGAAGACGAAACATTCAAGTTCTTTGCTCAGTGCCAAACAAAGCATAAGGTGCTTAAGATTTGCGAACTTCAGCCCGCAACCTGTTGTACACCGCAAAAAACTTCAAAATTTTGGGTTCGAAACTACACAAAGGTTGCAAAATGAGAATTAATGGTGCATGAAAAGACTCATCCGATGCTTAGAAAGTCGACGAAGCCATTATAGGATGCACTGCTTATCTGGTAGCGCCCTTTCGGCTGTTATGGTGTGCAGTCTGGCTTCCTTCTCTTCACGCCGGCTATCCAAGCTTCTCTCTACATGGGAAAGAGCATTCCCCGTTGGAATCTAAAATTCTAGGCGCTCTCTTCCCCGTAAGAAGAATTCATGTGGCCTCTGGCGATGCAGTCTGCTGGAATTATGAGAAACAAGGCGACTCACGACGCAGGTCCTGAGTCGCCTTGTTTTTTAGATGCCAGAAAGGCCGCACGGTTATTTTCTTTCAGCCTGGATGGGTGCGCTAGCTTTTTTCGCGTATGCGCAGCAGCTTTTTTGGAAAAGGTGAGTTATTCCAACGAGCAAGAATCCTTTAGAACGTAAGATGCTCCAGGCACTGATCATCGAAGAACAGGCAGATGAATACGTTAGCACCTCGTGCATCACTTCTCGTACCAAATAAGAACAGTATTTGCTGTGTGCCACACCCAGGCAACTCGTAGGATGAATTTTGGCTGGTAAAGTTGAACTTAAATATTTCTTTTGTTTAATATTTAGTCTTTGCTAATACTTCTTTTTGTTTATGTGAACAGCCTCTGAAGAAGACAATTACGCATAAGAGAATGTGTAATAAAGCAAATTCTTGATACTCTAATCATGCTTTTTATTTTTTTTTATTTCACTCTCAGTGCCGTTAGGCGCTCAAAAAAAAAGTGGGTGAAACAAAGTTTAAGCAACATGTGCGCAAACCCGTTAAAGGCAGATGATGGGACACTCCACGTTTGAAGGCAAAGGGATTCGTTATGAGGGCGACTGTGGTGGGAACGTGGTTTTAGTCCATGGGCTTGTTTTAAGGACAAAGGAATGAAAGTGCGAGTTGGTTCTAGAATTTGGCACAACGTCTTTCAATTTCGTGTCGGTACTGGATGACATGTACACATGTGGGAGTTGTAAATATCAACAGGTTTAGATTGTCGCTAGTGTAATATATTTTATGAAAAATGAAAAATCTAAAGATATGACGCCGTAGTTTTCGGTCGGGTAGGTGAAACGTTTCATTCATCTGCGATACACTGGCTAAGCGAGAATAGTTAGTCAAGATAAAACGAGCAGAGTGGTCTTGAATCCATTCAAGACAAAGGATGAGCGAGTTAGCATGAGGATCCCATACGGCTGAGGCACGCTTAGCCTTAAAATTGCTATTATACAATAGCAGTTGTTATTCTGTCGAAACAAGTGCAAAGTTACGGCGAAGGAAGTCAAGGATGCGGTTTCCATTATTAGCAATATATTCAATGTGTGTTTTCCAGGAAAGGTTATGCGTGATGTTAAATTCAAGATGCGTGTATGACACCTTGGTGTAGCGACCGAGGCCGAAGTGAACAGGCCGAAGTGACGAGAAGTCGAACAACCTTTTTAATATACCAAGACATATTTATATAGATGACAACACTAGCGACACACACAATACAAGGTTGACTGACGTAATGCAGAAACCGAAACTACGACACAACATATTCCCCTCCTTAAAGGGGTACTCCGGCGATTTTTCAGCTACCTCAACTAACTATATATTCTGACGCCCCTGCCTTTTACCCTTTTTGGTATGCTATTCAGAATCGTGAAATTCATAATAGTCATTGCGAAATCGGCAAATGAAAATTATGCAAAAACCAACATTCAAATATACGCGCACTTTTCAGTGCCGTGACGTCAGTGGAAGGTAAGCTTGCCAGTCGGGTGAGCAGTCTAAAAAATAGAATATGCCAATCATTTGTTCCTTGCTGGAGCGCGGGGACTGGAGCGAGCTTCCAAAGCATTCATTTGACACCATGAAACTGCTTCGAATCAGTTGGGAACAAATTCTACAGTCCAAAGAGTGAACCCCTGCACTTCCACTGACGTCACTTTTTCGTTGCTGCCAGTAGAGACTTTCAGTTTGAAAAACGCGGTGAGGACCAAAATTGTATATCCAATAACTCCGTGAAAAAAAAAATTATTTTGACCTAATATTTTGGATACTATATTGGCGATGTCGTTTGGCGAGTTTAGCAAAATTTCAAGCAAATCTGGGACCATGAAGAAATCGGCGGAGTACCCCTTTAAGAACAACATTAATTAAGTAGGTTAGTAAATGGTTAGTATATTAGTGCTGTAATTTGACTATGTACAACATCAAAAGAACTGAAGCGAAAAAGGAACAATATTTCACATATTTGGAAACACATTTCAAGTCAATAGTTTATACAGTTCCGTATGTGGGAACGTAAATTTTCGAAAGATCATAAACGTGTTCGCCGTAGCGGTCTGGAGCCCGCCTCTCTCTTGGTGGCTGAACACGTCGAACAGGAACCTCTTGCTGCTCGGCTGCCGGGAAGTCGAAACCACCAATGGGGCAGGCTCGGAATCGGAGTCTGTACGCCTTCATCCTCCCGAGAAGGAGGCTCGGCGTCAGGCGCCGGGTGGACGGTAGCTGGGTCCTTAGGAGGGGGAGTCTCAGTGTCAGAAACCGGGTGCTCGACGGTACGGTGATCTAGGGGAGCAGGCGGAGAAGCAGTCGAAGCTGGAAGCAGTTCAAGTGCCCAATGAGCAACTGAGGGCCCATAACTCCTTGCTGACGGGTCCCAGGTTCCACCTGGCGGTTCAGAGCTTGAATGCGCAGGAACCTTAGACAGCTTCAAAGCGTTCCATGTTCTTCCGTCATCTAGGCTGAAGGATGATTGTCCTCACTGCCCCACCACTCTCCGGGGACGGCTGAACGAGAGATCCCCGTCCAGGCAATGGAAGGTTTCTTTACTCCAACAAAGTCGCCGACTGAGACCTTGGTCTTGCGGGCAGCACGGCGACTGTCTGTGTAGCTTCGGCTACTGTCTTGCTTGCGCTCACGCGCTGGCGGAGGCGGCGGAGTTCCCCAGCCAGATCCTTGAAGAAGGATTGTGACGGGTCTCCTGCGACGTCCAGGCGCGTTCTGGGCAACCTTCCATGAAGCGCCAGAGCCGGGGCAACTCCCGTCGCAGCGTGCGGCGTGCAGCGGTAGACGCTTAGGTAGTCGAGCACCGCTTGCCGAAGCGGTCGATGCTCCAGCATAGCAACTTGAACAAAATTATTTTGAAGACGCGGTAGATCCGTTCTACGAGCCTATTCGCTTGAGAGTAGGAGACCGCAGAATGGGCAAGGCGAATGGCGCGGTCCTTTAAAAGCTGTATGAATTCTTGAGACGAAAAGTGGGGCCCCGTTGTCGCGAACGACTTCGTCCGGGTAACCCTCGTGAGCGAAGACAGAATGCAGGAAACTGGTAACCGTGCTTCTGGAAGTTTCTCCGCAGAACTCCACTTCAGGCCACTGGAGAAATAGTCGACTAAGGTGATGGCATAGTTGTAGTCTTGTGGGGCCTTTTCCATAGACCCAACGATGTTGATGGCAATTTTCTGTCATGGCCGTTCTCGTAGAGGAACTGGTAGCAACGGAGTAGCAGCAGTCTTGGCGGTCTTGTCTGCAGACTGGCAGATGCTGCAGTTGTGGATGGCTACTTCTACTTGCTTGTTTATCCCTGGCCACCAAAAGCGTTCCATGAGACACGCCTTGGTCCGAGCTATCCAGGGTGGGCCTCGTGTGCTGTGGCAATGACCCGCGGAGTGAGGGACCGAGAAACAACGAGTCGTTCCCCCCGCAGAAGCAAATAGTCGACTTCTGGGAAGGCCAGGATGACGTAAAGTGACCCTTTACTTGCTCCAAGGTAAGGTCTTCGCACACAGACTGCTCAAATTGCTCCTTGGTCAAGCAGAGCGGTTCAACGAGGGCCACGACTCCTTCGTCGAACGAGACGTCTTCCTGAAGAGCAGACACTGGAAGGCGGGAGAGGACGTCCGCCACCTGCTTCTCCGAGCCCTTGCGATACTCTAC